TCAACGTTTTAAGAATAATTTTTACTTCCATAATTTATCAACTACTCCAAGAAGTCTGAAATGAGGAACTTTTTATGTGTAATTTAGATTAAAAAGTGAATTGTTGTTGGATAAGGACCAAAGTTATTGATCTTAATTATTCGGATCCAGCCGTCTCTCCTGTGATCTGCAGTGACGTTTCCTCTCTGCCAGGTTCCGGTCAACCTGCTGCGCGCCGGCCGTATCTTCGTGTTTGAGCCGCCGCCCGGCGTCAAAGCCAACATGCTGCGGACCTTCAGCAGCATCCCAGTGGCGCGCATGTGCAAGGTAATGGAAACGATCAGAACCCGATCAGAACCTGATCAGAAATCTGTGTGCACCGTGTTCTGACCCTGCGTTTCCTCTGAAGGCTCCCAACGAGCGCGCGCGCCTCTACTTCCTCCTGGCCTGGTTCCACGCCGTCATCCAGGAGCGGCTGCGCTATGCGCCGCTCGGCTGGTCCAAGAAGTACGAGTTCGGCGAGTCGGACCTCCGCTCCGCTTGCGACACCATCGACACCTGGCTGGACGACACTGCCAAGGTAGGAGCGGACCCACGTCTCTCTGTTTGCAGCTAAAACTGAGACGCAGGAAGCTGAGGGTTTACTTCCTGTCTGTGTCGCTCAGGGTCGTCAGAACATCGCTCCAGATAAAATCCCCTGGGCGGCGCTGAAGACCCTCATGGCCCAGTCCATCTACGGCGGCCGCATCGACAACGAGTTCGACCAGCGGCTGCTCATCACCTTCCTGGACCGCATCTTCACCAAGGGAAGCTTCGACAGCGAGTTCAAGCTGGCGCTGAAGGTCGACGGGCAGAAGGACATCAAAATGCCCGACGGCATCAGGTCGGTGGCGCTTGGCGCGATTTCTACCTCAGAATGATTTCTAAGATGGCCGCCGCCTCACCTGGGCCGCTCTGGTTTCAGGCGTGAAGAGTTCATGCACTGGGTGGAGATGCTCCCCGACACGCAGACGCCATCTTGGCTGGGGCTGCCCAGTAACGCAGAGAAGGTGCTGCTCACCACTCAGGGTAGGCCTCTGACCTCTGACCTCCGATTGTAGGCAGCAGCAGCAGAATCTGCAAACGGAGATGAACTGGAGCCACAAACTAAGTTTTGAAATTGACAAAAAAAAAGATAATCTGAAAAATAGAATTTTGGAAACTAAAATTTTTTCAAACAGGTTGAAACTTTACAAAATAAAATTTAAACTGAAAAAATCTGAAACTCAAAAAAAAAAAAAAAGGTTGGAAACAAAAATATTTTGGAAACACATTTTGGAACATGGAAAAAAAACTAATTTTTTGAGTTTGTAAAAAAAAAGTTTAAAAAACTTTAGCTCCATAGTAACGTCTCTTAGAAAAGTGAGAGAACTTCCTAAAAAGACGTGATGCTGACTAAGATGTTGACGTGTGTGGATAATGAGCCGTGGCCGTCCTGGCTTTAGCAGGTTGACTCCATCTGGATCCTGGTGGAGCAGCAGAGTCCTTCAGAATGGTTTCTCTAATCTGTCCTCTTCCTGTCAGCCGGGGTTTAATCTGTAATCCAGCTGCAGCCACCGGGTGCGGCTCCTCACCCTCCAGCAGCTGTATTTCACACACATCCTGCTGCTTTGCTGAGATGATATCCGACTCCCTCCCGTTGCCCCCCACCCTCCTTTAGCTCAATGGTTCCTCTGCATCCTCCCAGGTTCTCCCTCTTCCTGTTGCATGACGTCGTTTTACTTCCCGTCAGCTGAGGAATCGGCCTCAGCGTTGCCTGAACCTGTTTGTGTTTGTCCTGCTTGATCTCCTTATCTTGTATTGACACAATCCCACACCCTGAGGGGAAGCCATTTTGGTTTTCTGTTCCAAAATATAATGTCTTGTCCCTCCTCCTCCACCCACCATGGTCTGGTCCTCCACCTCCCTCTGCTGGGCTGCACAGGCACTGACATGATGGGTAAGATGCTGAAAATGCAGATGTTGGAGGATGAGGATGACCTGGCCTATGAGACGGAGAAGAAGGAGCGAACGTCGTCCACGTCCGACACCCAGCCGGCCTGGATGCGGACGCTCCACGGCACCGCCTGCAACTGGCTGCAGCTCATGCCGCAGACGGTCAATCCGCTCAAACGCACCGTGGAAAACATCAAGGTGAGCAACCGGGTCAGAACGCAGCAGCTTCATGTTCCACCAAGCTGTTCTTCTGTATCGGATCCGATACTCAAGCTCAGATATCGGTTCTGGAAGTGAACAGTGATTGGTTCATCCGTGGTTCTGGTGAATCTGCAGCGTTTCCTCTAACTCTCTCTTGTTCTGATCGGTGGAACCAGGACCCGCTGTTCCGTTTCTTCGAGCGCGAGGTGAAGATGGGTGGCAAGATGCTGCAGGAGATCCGTCAGGATCTGACCGACGTCGTCGCCGTCTGTGAGGGGAAGAAGAAGCAGACCAACTACCTGCGCACGCTCATCAGCGACCTCGTTAAAGGTGTTTGATTCGTTCTCGGCTGAATAAACCGGATCGGCTTCGTCTGGAGTAAATCTGATCCCGTGTCGCTGCAGGAATCCTCCCCCGCAGCTGGTGCCGCTACACCGTCCCGACCTCCATGACCGTCATCCAGTGGGTGTCGGACTTCAGCGAGCGGATCAAGCAGCTGCAGCAGATCTCCCAGGCGGCGGCCAGCGGGGGCCAGCTGAAGGTACCACGAGTCAACAAATTTTAAAAAACAAGCAAACTTCCACCATTTGTTTTGCAAATTTGCAACTTTTCCAACTCAGAACATATCAAGGTTTTTTTTTCTAGACAATTTATTATTTTTCTGGCTAAATTTTCACTTTTGAAGCTCAGAAATTTGTATTTTTTATTCTCTAAAAGAAACTCAATGTGATTTTTCAAACTCAGAAATTTCTGAGATTTTTCTGTGGGATTTTTTTAAAGTTTCCTATCTGCAGTGGCCCTGACGTGTCGTGGTAGAAAACGGCTGTTTGAGGTTATTTTCCGTTTTCCCTCCTCCAGAACATCCATGTGTGCCTGGGCAGCCTGTTTGTGCCGGAGGCGTACATTACCGCCACTCGCCAGTATGTGGCGCAAGCCAACAGCTGGTCTCTGGAGGAGCTGTTCCTGGAGGTCAACGTCACGACGGCTCAGGGCGCTTCGCTCGACGCCTGCAGCTTCGGCATCAAAGGTCTGACTAAACCTGCGCCTGCTGTTGCCATGGAGAAACGTTAGACTTTATGTGGATCCTCATTAGCTGTTGCCATGGCAATGGCTACTTCTCCTTAGGTCAACATCATAAAAACATTACAGAAGCAGCTACACACACGCAACATAATATTTGAAACATTAAATGATAAAATAATTAAGTTATATAACACATGACCTTATTTTGAACCAGTGCTCTGTGCATCCTGATAATATTTGTGTTTTTGGAACAAGCTGCCGTATTTTGGGTGAATTGTAGTTTAAATGTGATCTGGAGCGGGCTCTGGCCTCATTTCAGCCTCATGTTTTAATGATTTTTGATACATATAGATAATAATCACCGTCTGCTGCATCTTCAACATGACTTTGTTAAAGTGAAATGAATGAGAAGCGGGTCAGATTTGATCTTGATTGGTTCTGGTTTGTCCCGTCCAGGTCTGAAGCTGCAGGGCGCCACCTGCGCCAACAACAAGCTGTCTCTGTCCACCTCCATCTCCACCGAGCTGCCGCTCACGCAGCTCCGCTGGGTGAAGCAGAGCAGCGCTGAGAGCAGACACACGGTACCAGCAGCACCAGAACAGAACCACCGGATCCACTGGGTCAGAGCTCCTAACTGAGCCGCTTCCTCTGTCTGCAGGTGACGCTTCCCGTGTATCTGAACTTCACCAGAACCGACCTGATCTTCACCGTGGACTTCGACATCGCGACCAAGGAGGATCCGCACAGCTTTTACGAGCGAGGCGTCGCCATCCTCTGCACCGAATAATTTCATCCTAAACGTCCTGATCATATGATTATTACGCTGCAGTTAATCACTTTAATTACTCAGTCGCTGTAGTCGTGTTGTTGCGTTAGAAATACTCGTGGAGCCGCTGTGCTTCGTTCGTACGGTTTCCTGGAAAGTGACTGAAAGTGAAGGAGGATGTTGTCAGATGGTAAAACTGGGAGGAAATGAAATTTGGGGACAGAAAGTTGGAAAAGTTTTAGAGGATGTTTTTAGACTGAATAAAGCTTATTGCATTGGAATGAAAAAACTGTCTTGTTAATGTCGAGATGAAAACTTCAATAACTTTGTTCACACAACACTTCAGATATCTGTGGGGGGAAAAATGTTGTTTTCCAAGTTATAAAATGTAAAATTTTAATTTAGCTGGGAACCAGATGGGATTTTCTGACAAAAACTTCCAGTACAGCCATCCAACCCCAACCAGTTACTGTCCAGTTCAGCCTCCAACATCCAATAATCTCATCTTTATAGTAAAACTTGAATCTGTTACTGTAGCAACAGGATCGCTCTTCAGAAAATGTAAACGAATGAAACCTGTGATCACATGTGAGAGAAGATATCCCATGTTTAAAAAAAAAAAAATGAACCCTTTTTTCCCCTTTTACTTGATCAGAGGTTATTGAACATCCCTGCTTCCTGAACTCCATAATCTGGGCTTTGACTAGGCTCAGATCTCCATTTTTCAGCCAGTCCTGGGTGGATTCACAGATGTTTTGGGTTATGATGGAGCAACCAGTTCTGGTCCAGTTTTAGTTTTTTTTCCCCCCCATTTCTCTATTAAAAGGGGCCGAGATGGAACCCTGGGGTACTCCGAAGGTGACTATTTTTTGTCTGCTCTAATTGAAAGTTACTTGGACAAGAAAAACTCTGAAGTAATTTGCAACCTGCTATATAAATAAAATAGTTGCTCAACATAGCAACAGGCTGAAGGTAATCTGCTCCTTACCTGAGTTTCTACCAGGCCCCTCCCACCTGAAGCAGCCTCTGTTCTTACATAATCAACACACCACACAGATTAAAATGTGACGATCTTTAATTTAGCCTTTTTGCTCCACACAATGAAATGTAAAAGCTTTGGTTCACAGCAACGTAAAGGTCCAAGTTAATAGCAATTCCTGGAGAATGTTAATCATTTGGTCGCATTTGATCACTGTGAATGAAATAAATTTCAACTTATTTGACCAAATTATGGCTAAAATTAAGGGAATTTTAAAAGTCAGGAGGAATCTAATCACTACAATGAAACTTAATCTAAATATTCTTGGGAAATCAAAACAAGTTGAATTAAACAATTTCAGTAAAAAAACAAAAACAAAACAACCCCCATCCCCACATATTGCATCTCTGGATACAGTGAGACTTAACAGCATTCATGACCAGAAGCCTCCATCATTGTTCCTCCATGTTTCTAACACATTGCCTCTTCCTGGGCTCCGCCTCCACCTGTCCTCCAGGTGGGGGCTCCTTCCTCTTGCAGAGCGGCCTGAGCGATGAGCAGCTGCTGATCTGACGGGAGCTCCTTTCCTCTGGGGGGAGAAGTCCAGGGCTGCAACCTGCATCCAACCCGGAGCCATCAAGCTGCACCTCTACATCCATAGCATGGATGCCCTTTGTTAAATAGCTTATACTTTGATGAACTCTAGACGGATGATGTGCTAAAGAGTCTCTGCTGCCGTTTGTCACCATTTCATTGACTGTTAGGGAGGCAGAGTGGTGAAGCAACAATCGCCTTCTCTGGCCAGAGACGCGACTTCTTCCTATGGGAGACATTTGGAAAGTTAGACAAAAATCGACAGGTATTGTTTGGGGGTTTTAGCCTCAAAGCAAAAATTATAATGAGGGCTCATTTTCAAAGTCATGTTTTCACCATATAATTGATTCATTTATAAATCTCAGTTCGAACTAAATATCTAGTTAAGCTAAATTTCCCTTGAGGCCATTTACTTACCAAGCCAAATATATAGTTTAAATCAAAATTTTAGCTCAAATATAAGTCAAACTAAATATTTAGATAACTTACATTTAGCTTGAAGCTAACTATTTAGTTACAAAACTAGATATTTAGCTACAAGCTAACTATCTAGTTACTAAGCTAAATATTTAGCTTGAAGCTAAATTTCTATTTACCAAGTCAAATATTTAGTTTTAAGCTATGCTTTTAGCTCAGATATCAAACAAAACATTTAGATATAGTTAATAGCTAATCTAGGAGCTGCTAAACATTTAGTTGGTAAACAATATTTAGCTAAATAAGAAGTAAATATTTAGCTTGGACCTAAATAGTTAGCTTGCTCACAAAATATTTATGAACTAAATATTTAGGTTGGAGCTAAATAGTTAGTTCATAAACAAAAATATTTAGCTTGCCATTTAAATATTTTGCTTGAAACAAATTTTTAAAATGAATGAATAAAAAAATATGACTGAAAAATTAACCCATTTTTTCCCCATCTTGGCAACTACAAAGCTCAAATTATTGGTGTTAATTTTTGACAAACATCACCCCACATCCTCCTCCTTTACCTCGCTGCCTCTTCTCCCTGCTGGCACCATTTGACTCCTCTGAATCCTCTGAGCTCCCATCGTACGGGTCCAAAAACTGCACAACCAAGACAACAGCCACACGAGTCAGCAGGATGCTTCATCGCTGGAGGTGACCGGATCTGAGGATGCTCACCAGCGAACAGCAGCCATGTCTTCCTGCAGACTTGTATGTTAACCCCACTGTCTGGCAGGAGGTTCTGCTTTCTGGGGCGCTGCTCACACATCCCTGCTCACAGCAAGCAGAGACCTTCACAGGTTAGGAGACAAATTTTACATACCCTCATCAGTTTGAATATGAACTGACTTATATTTTCCTGGGTGGGATGATTACACAACTTCAAAGAGTTGAATTGTTGCAACAAGTTTTAATTTGTTGGTTTTCTTTATTTCACAAAGTAGAGCATTATCCATGCTGTAAAGTCTATCAGTCTGTAAAGTGTTAGAAAACTATTTCTATGGAAATAAACAGTGGGGAAACCTTCTCAGGAGAAACCAACCTACCAAAATTACTCCAAGAGCTCAACAACAACTCATCCAGAAGAACCCAGAACAACCTCAGTATCCCATCTGATCTGGTCTACAACTCACAGAAAGACAATTATAAACACGGTGGAGGTAGTGTGATGATCCGTTTTTGCTGCTGCAGCATCTGGATTACTTGTAGTGATTAATGGAACCAGGATTTTTGCTCTAATGCAGAAAATCCTCAAGAAGAATCTCCAGCCATCGGTTTCTGTAGCCGGACCACAAACCCAACAAGTATCTGAAGATCTAAGAAGGACGAAATGAAGGTTTCAGAGTGGCCTAGTCAAAGTAGAGTTCCTGGGCATTCCCTTTCCAAGTTGGAAATTATCCCAAATACAACTTTTACATCAGATTTGATATATATAGCATTTTTATAACTGAAGGAAACAGTTACTTGCTAATGGCATAAAATGTCACCATATGCCTGGACACAAATGATGCTGTCCCTTTAAGAGTCAGTAAAGCTGAATAATCCTTCCACCTTCAAACAAAACAGTTCAGATACAATAAGACTGAGTAAAAAGTTTATGTAAAGGTCTGATGTTCTTCCAAAAAACTACAAACTTTCAGTTGTTTATGAATTGATGAGTACCAGAGTGCTGGTGTCCGACCACCTGGGGGTGATCTCAGAGTCTGAATCCGTGCTGGAGTCCATCTTACACATCACACATCCCATCGGCGTCACAGCAGGAGAAAAAACACGTTCAATGTAACCAAATCGGTAAAAGTCAACAGATGAGGCTTCACTCCTCTCACCATGCAGCTCAGAGTCAGCTGGGCCATCGGGTTTGGTGCGTCAGTGTTTCTGGGGTCTGGACAGGAAACAGAAATAAAGTCACCAGAAAATCACATCTGGCTTTTTAAACGCAAGCATGGCCTTCTCAGTAAGTTAGGATATCACTAGGAAGTGTTTTAGTTTGAGTAAAATAATTCACATTTTGACCAAAATTTGTCTCTAAAGAGCTCTTAAAGTTAAAGCTCTTTGAACTTTCCACGATGACTAAAAATGACAGAGAACTAATGAATTTTAGTTATACATGTTATACAGGTTGGTGTTTCAGATATAAGTGGCAATATAAAGTTTTTATTTTCAGTATTTTAGGGAACTGGAGTCAAAACTCCTGAAACATAAAATGCAGCCCTTAAAAATAGTTTAGATCAGGCATCTTCAGGACACCAAAAACATGGAAAGTGTGATTCTCATCACTAAAATGCACAAAGAAGCTGCATGTTGCCATATTTAATGATCCTCCAATGGAATCAGCAGAAGAGAAAATGGTAAAGATAATTATGACAATACAGACAGATTTTAGGGTTTTCAAGTTATCATAAATCAAAATTATCATGAGGAAAATATTTTATAGTACAATAGTTGTCTCCAGTAGACATAATAAATGCAGGTTTTTAGCAGTTGTTCCGTTTTCAGGGAAAAATTATATCAATTTTCCTCAACAGAATGACACTGAAATCACAGTAATATACATTTTGGTTAATTTGTTTTCTCTAATTAGGTTGGTAAATGTTTATTTCACATCATTTTATAGAAGAAAATGTATCCATCCTTTTAGAACTTAAAAGGTGGTTCTTTAAAATTGCAACAAAAAACAAAACAAAACTTAATTTGACTTATTTTTCCCCAAATTTAAATCAAAAATTTAAATTTAATTATGGAAATAAATATTAGATGATATTCTAACTGTGAGACGCACCCATAGGACACCGTATTGGTCACTTCTGCGACCGCATATTTAACAAAAACATTCAGAATATTTCAGTTTCATCTGTAGTGATTTCATGTGTGTACCTGGAAGTGAATGCTGCTGTCATCTCCTGCAGGGCATCAGTTCTGCTGCTGCCTTTGGTTCATGAATGTTAGGGTGAAATAATGGAAGCTGCAGGACAACTCGTTTAAATCAGTGCGGTAGCAGGTGTTTGTGATTTTTAAGCAGCAAAATGTGGAAACACCTGAGAACGAAAAGATTTGCTCAGATTAAAACGTCCGGTGAAACGCGTTTTCAAAATAAAGCAATAATTATGCAACTCCAGGAAAGCTTCAGTGACAGTTTTGTGGTTCCTCTCCCTTTTCTGACCTTAATTTTAAAATATGTTTAATCAGAATAGTTGAGGTTTAGAAACTGCTTTCTTCCGAGTAGAGCGAAAAATAATTATATTCCAGTATTTAATTAAATAAAATTGAGTCCAAGGTAAAAATGGACACAAACTGTTATCTCTACACTTTAAACATGTAAAATATCTTTTTGGTTTAATAAAACTGTGGAGATAAATATTAAAGTTTGAGTTTACTTTTTCCGGGTACGAAACAGAACACTCTGGCCACCAGGGGGAGTTTCGTGCTGACTTTGCGATGTAAAACCAGTTTTTATCTCCTCATAATTTACTAGAAACAAATAAAACTTCTGACTCCAGAGGATCTTATCTGCCAGCAGGAGCTCGTTGGTATTGTTTCTGATTTAATCAGGGCTTTATCGTGTTATATTTCACAAGAGTCAACAGGAGTAAAACTTTGGTAAACAAAAAAAAATAAAAAAAATAAATCTTGCAACACTTAAATCTAAATCTGTCCAAGCTGCTCATACGTCACAGTTTTTACTAATGCCCACTGATCAACTCTGTGCTGTCATCAATCCAAATACATACAAAACAGGAACAACAGCCGTCATAAACATTATGTCCAGTAAAATTCTGCAGTGGGAATGATAATACTTTTCATAATCCAGTTATATTTTTCATTGCAGTGAAAAATATTACTGCATATTATTTTCACAGTGCTTTCATATTGAAAACATGAAAGCATGTTTTCATGTTTGAAAACAGCATATTGTTTTCACTGCCAAAACATTGAAAACAATATGCTTGGTAGAATCTTGAGTACTTTATTATTATGACCGTAGTATTTTTAATTTAATTTTATTGGAGATACAGGTGTAGTAAATAGGAATACATATATGTGAGAAATAACATATTTCAATATCTAAAAGTTGACTTCTCCTTCTTGCAGTTCCGTAGAACCCCGCTAGGGGGAGTAGTGGAGTCGGAATGCCCTCTGCCGACCGTGCGTAAGATCCGGCCTGGGGGAAAGGGATGAATGTTAATTTCAAAGATGGCGGCGGAGGGAGGAGGGAAGGAGATGAACGAAATTAAAACTCAGTTCACCACTCGGGAAGGCGTCTACAAACTCCTCACTCACTCCGAATACAGCCGTCCCAACAGGGTGCCTTTCAACTCGCAAGGTTCCAACCCCGTCAAGGTCTCCTTCGTGAACGTCAACGACCAGTCGGGTAACGGCGACAGGATCTGTTTCAATGTGGGCCGTGAGCTCTACTTCTACATCTACAAAGGGGTTAGAAAGGTACTGTACTGACTGGACTGGTGTCAACGGGGATTCCGGCTCTGCTTTCTCAGCTCTTGTTGAAGTTTAGGCTGATCTTTGCGCTGTTGAAGAACTCTGACAGGTGCTTGACTTTCAACTCAGTTAGCATGAGCTAATTAGCTTAGCCTAGGCTATTAGTTAGCCGGCTAACGACTTGCTAAGGCTGCATCTCCACCGAGTTCAGAGGCTAAACTTCTTCTTCAGACTACCTCTATGAGGTTATGAATATTTTAGGGATAAATGCGACCTTTGTTCCAGACAGAGCGACCTGGTACTTAAATACATTTGGCTTCAGGTCCAGTTTGTGAAGAAGCTGTCAACAGTTATGCTGTCGAGTTGGTTTTGACTGACAGGTGTCGATAACTCCAGGTTTACCAATGTTTGATTGTAGTTTGGGGCGATAAAAGCGTCAGGCTGTTGATGCCAATAATATTAATCATAATTGTATAATGAGGTTAATTAGTTAAAGACAGAACAACCTCGTGTGTAACACAAAAGACAAGAAAAAAACACAAGAATGATCACAAGAATGATGGCTGGAAGCAACTATGTTAAAATGCCAAAACAATAAATTTAATCTAAAAGAGCAATAAAATATCTATTAACTAATCCTGATATTGTGTTTGTAAGATTCAATTAAGTTTTTCGCAATACATCATCTCAAGGCACTTTACAAATACAGCCTTTCCAGTTCAATCACATGCTTTCCAGCTGAACCCAGTTGTCAAGCGGTGCATTTGGTTCAGTTCATTATTTAAATTAGTTCAGTTTTCATCAACTAACAAACTATTTGGTAAAACAATTCTCAAAACAGCAACGCTCAGTAGTAAACACAGAGCTATATTTCAGGGACTTTCACAGCTTCAATCAGGTGATTAAAGTATAAATAGCTTTGCAGTCTTGCTGACAATAACATATCTAATGAATATGTTGTTTCTCGACAACGTAATGCCAGTGAATACGAGATTGTGATTTTATGTTGAGCTTTTTGGCGTCGCACAAGAATGCAGCTGGTGGGAGATTATAGTCAGTTCTTAAATAAATGTTATTTCCTGAGTCAACATTAGTGTTGCTGACTTATTAACACTAAGCATGAAACACATGGAAACAGTGTCTCAGTGCCATAATATATGTAGTAATAAAACAATGCAAAACATTTATTTTGTGCTAAATATTTCAGCCACTGGTGGAAAAACGAAGTGAGGAAAACATCATTAATGTTGCATCGTTCTCTTTTCTGGTGCAACACTTCAAGGCTTCCTTTTGTGTTAGTAAAATACTAAATCAGATTAATTGTAAATAATTATATCCTGCATTTATTTCTGTTTTCTGTCTCTTGGTGTTTTCCAGCTGCTTGGCGTGAGGCAGATCTCAGACCAGCTGACATTTCTTCATATAACTGATCTTAAAACTTGATTAAATTTGTTAAAAGAGCCGAGTCATCATTTTTGCTCCCTAAGAAGTTTCTGTTCTATCAGGTGTTAACCGTAAATCATTAACAAATTAGGCAGTTGTTGCTGCGGTTATCTACAGTTACTTGTTCACAGCCTTCAGTGATCTTTGTAACGTCTCGTGTGGCGACTGCCGGATTATTGGACCGAACTTGTTGTTCTTTTACAGTTTTTCTTATTGATCTTCTTACCTGAGACATTCAGTCTGAACCTTAAGCAATAATCTTCTTCCATTGTTGTTTTAGAGTGTAACCTTTACATGCTGCTGCTACTTTTAAAGCAGCAGTTGTTATTATTCTCATTGCCTGGCCAATTTATGTAATGGGTGTCATGTTCATTGTAATTGTTTTTTAAGTATAAAATATGGAAAAATTAAACAGAGGATGGAAACTGTTGTTTCCAGGCGATTTACATTCTAAAATATATTCATGTAAAATAAAATGGACTAAAAACAATTTAAAACAGAAGAAAACATGAATTGATTGAATGAAAACCAGCAGGATACCAATTGCAGTTTTCTGACCGATAGCTGATCTTTAAGGTGGCATTCACATGAACTCCAGTCCATTTCTCTAAAAAGTCTGGTTGTTTCCTGAGGTGTTAACGTTAATCGACCTCTGACCTCTGGTCCTCTAAACCTCAGTCTGGGTTCAGTTGAAGGGAACTCTGGTTCAATTTGATGTGAACGCCAAGCGGACTACAGGAAGTGGACTACAGCACAGGGCATTCTGGGTAAATACAACCACAGCTAACATGCTAGCCTAGCGCTAGCAGGAGAAATGGCTACTGGTCTTTAGCCAAAGACTAAAGAGAAATCCTCCAACCGCTAAAATCTGACGCCTCCATTTTGTTTCCATCTGGTGAAGAAGGAAGTTGCTCTCAGTGTCTTCAGAGGTTTTAGTGTCGCTTCCTTCTGTGGTTCTTGGTGCAGCGCCCCCAGAGGCCAGGAGGGGAACAGATTACTCAAAGGGTTTGGTTGGTTTGACATATTTATCTAAAAGGGTTCAAAATGTTTTAAAAAATATTTTCCTGATTTAAAAAAAAACATTTAATCAAGAAAGCTATGAAAGTATTTGTTTGGATGCTGTGTTGTGATGTAGTCTTTATTCCTTTCTGTGTAAACGCTTGATGAGTCTGAATAATGCACTGAATAATCCCTGGAGGTTTGCTTTAACTGAGCACTTAGTGTTGTAAATTAAACTGAAAGGATTCATCGATTATCTTCTACAAAAGCAACAAGACAAAGTAGAGCGGAGCTGCATGAGGAAAAGATGGACCTGTATCAAATAATCAATTCAGTTTGTAATTAAAGGAAATCTGTTTTTTTCCTTAATCAAGATATTTTGGCTGCTTTTAACGAATCCATCATCACCCCAAATATTGTTGTTATTATTATTAGCATGCAGAGTGTGAATGCTGCTGTATTCTGTATTGTTCAGGTCTAAATGAGAGATTTTAAAAACTACTTATTCATTCATTTCTTGCACTTCTGTCTCTCTTCAGGCTGCCGACTTGAGCAAACCGATAGACAAGCGCATTTACAAAGGGACGCAGCCCACGTGCCATGACTTCAACCACCTCACGGCCACGGCGGAGAGCGTCTCCCTGCTGGTGGGCTTCTCTGCTGGACAGGTGCAGCTCATCGACCCCATCAAGAAGGAGACGAGCAAACTGTTCAACGAGGAGGTAGGTAGCCGACCAGACGGTTCCCACTGCAGCTGCCGGCATCTCCAGCTGGATAAACACAACGTTCAGCAGCACACTGCTCTTTACCTCTGCTAGATCGATTACTGAAACGATCGTCAACTGATTTAGTAATCAGTTGACGATTTAGTAATCAGTTAATCGTTAACTGGAATCTAAAAAAGACAATTTGCTTAATATAAACAACATCTTTGTAAATATATTGAATTAATTGTATAATAATTTAAAACAAACTCAATAATTTCCATTTCTATGATTTATTGTTTTTCTCTCGTTGGATGAAGTCTGGTGTTTTGGTGTCAGATCTATTTTGAAGGACAGTTTACAGAAACTTCACCATATTGGTTATTTTGGATATTTGAAATTTAAAGTTTATCAATCTATTAGAATGTGTTCTTTCATTATTATATAATTCCATGAAAATGGTCTGAAAACAACATCATTGCTTATTGCGATAACTTCTGTGACACAGTCATCATGCATGTTGCTGCGTGTTCGCTCTGTTTCTCTAACCCGATCTTCCTCTCCCTCCCTCGGTTCTGCGCTGCCAGAGGTTGATCGATAAATCCCGGGTGACGTGTGTGAAGTGGGTTCCGGGCTCAGAGAGCCTGTTCCTGGTGTCGCACGCCAGCGGCAGCATGTACCTGTACAACGTGGAGCACACCTGCGGTACGGCGGCGCCGCACTACCAGCTGCTGAAGCAGGGCGATAGCTACTCCGTCCACACCTGCAAGAGCAAATCCACGCGCAACCCGCTGCTGAAGTGGAGCGTCGGCGACGGCGCGCTCAACGAGTTCGCCTTCTCGCCTGATGGGAAGTTCCTGGCCTGCGTGAGCCAGGACGGCTTCCTGCGCGTCTTCAACTTCGACGCGGTGGAGCTGCACGGCACCATGAAGAGCTACTTCGGCGGCCTGCTGTGCGTGTGCTGGAGCCCCGACGGGAAGTACATCGTGGCGGGCGGCGAGGACGACCTGGTCACCGTCTGGTCCTTCCTGGACTGCCGCGTCATCGCCCGCGGACACGGCCACAAGTCGTGGGTGAGCGTGGTGGCGTTCGACCACTACACCACCAGCGTGGAGGAGAGCGACCCCATGGAGTTCAGCGGCAGCGACGAGGACTTCCAGGACCAGGTGGTCCAGTTCGGGCGGGACCGCGCCAACAGCACGCAGTCCCGCCTCTCCAAGCGCAACTCCACGGACAGCCGGCCCGTCAGTGTGACGTACCGCTTCGGCTCGGTGGGCCAGGACACGCAGCTGTGCCTGTGGGACCTCACCGAGGACATCCTGTTCCCCCACCTGCCCCTGTCTAGGACTCGCACGCACACCAACGTGATGAACGCCACCGGGCCGCCCGCCGGCGCCGCCATCATCTCCTCCAGCAACACTACGAACGGAAACAACGGCAGTGCCAACACACCGGGCGTCACCACGCTGCCGCGCTCCAACAGCCTGCCGCACTCGGCCGGCACCGCCAACAGCACCGCCAAGACCTCCGGTACCGGCGGCGGCACCGGCAGCACTGGCGGCGGCATCATGGACAGCGCCATCGCCACCGGCGTCAGCAAGTTCGCCACGCTCTCCCTGCACGACCGCAAGGAGCGGCACCACGACAAGGACCACAAACGCAACCACAGCATGGGTCACATCAGCAGCAAGAGCAGCGACAAGCTCAACCTGCTGAGCAAGAGCAAAACGGACCCGGCCAAGACGCTGGGCACGCTGCTGTGCCCGCGCATGGAGGACGTGCCGCTCCTCGAGCCGCTCATCTGTAAGAAAATAGCACACGAGAGGCTGACTGTACTCATATTTTTAGAGGACTGTTTAGTGACTGCTTGTCAGGAGGGATTTATTTGCACATGGGCGAGGCCAGGCAAAGTGGTAAGTTCTTTCTAACAGGAAGTGTGGGGAGGTTGGAGTGCTGACTTCCTGTCTGTCCTTCTCAAACTGCTTCTTTTGGATTCTCTGGTTTTTAATAGCAACGTTTTTATTTGGCAGGCAGCCAGGTCGTCCGGTGAAACTTAAATGTGCAACTGCTTTCATAGGAAGCGTTTAAAATGCAATGAAAACGTCACAAAAATCATTAAACGGGATGAAATTTGTCGAGTTGCCTGAAAATCCTCATGTTCAGAACGTGGCTCCTTTATTTTATTTTATTTGTTTTCAAAGTTTTCAATTCGAATCTATTCCAAAACATTGCATCTTTTCTGTTTCTACTGTTTCTACAAGAAAAAAACAGAAGACCAACATTTTTCTTCACATTTTCATCTTTTTGTTTTTACTCCCCTTCAGTTTGGACACAAAAATAAATGTATGTTTAAAGATTCGTATAGAAATATTACACAGCAAGTGTTAAAAGTGATCAGGTTGCTGCTCTTCTAAAGATGCCCACAGAAATGTGATGCATAGACATTTTTTAAAATATGCAAACGCCAAAATTAACTTCAGGTTTAAACTTCAAATTTACAGATTAGTTTTAATTTCAGGAAATGTTTTATTTATTTTTGTCCAATGTGTGCAGATCGGTGGATATTCGGTTCACGGAGGTGAAATGGAAATCGCCTCCGATTTGAATAAACAGGAGAAAAAACTCCAAATTCAACTCAAACTCTAGTCATATTTTATACCAAAACAGCCAAAGTTTTACCAAAGTAGCATTCATAAATGTTCAGGGATCCAGAGGAAGACGAGTAAAGATTCCTCTGCTTTCGTCACGTTATTGAGTGTTGGATAAAAACTCAGCTCAGAAATCAGAAAGTTTGGCAGGTTGGCTAAACTGAGGCCAATATTTATCAGAAATCTCACCGTCATTTAAAGCTGTTTGTATTTATTAAGTGACAGCAGAGAAAACCTAAATTAATATCCTGATCTGCATAAAGAATATTTAATCTCTAAGGATGATAAATAAATTCGTCTGACCTGGTTGGTTTGCTTTAAAACGTCTGAAATGCCATCAATAAAAACGTTTATTTTGATTCTGGAGTGAAGTAACTTTCAGAAAGCGTCCCGTTCCGACTGACTTCAAGTGATTTGTTTTTTGTTTTTAGAAACATTCCCATGATGCTTCAGCTCATTTCAGCAGAGAAGATGAGTTAAACCCCTGAAATGACAAACTGAACTGCGATAACTCTGATTACCAGTGCAGTTAACATATTTTTGGAATAATATCCAGACCTGTGAAGCTTTGAGGGAGCAGACGTAGAGTCAGGAAGTGCCTTGGTGATGAAAAACTCCCGTTATTCCCAGACGTTTGATGGAAAGTTGGGCTGTTTTGTTGCTTGATTTCTGACTTTCCCAATGCAAATCTCCTTGTTTTCCTTTTTCCAGGGTTTATTGTCATCCCAAAACCAAGCCAGCTCTCCCAGTGGAACAGTAGTATAGCCAGAATATTTCTGCTGCAACCCAGAGTCTGATGCTGCTCTTCACCTGCAAGCATTGCAAGTTTTCCCGTTTTCTTTTATTCCCGGTTCTGCTGTTTGTTACTGGAGTTAGAGGAGCGCCGCAACCTCTTTGCCGTCGCGCCGCTCCTCTTTTCTACTCACTTTTAACACATTTTAGATTTTTTTTTATTAATATATTTGTTTAGAGTCAGATGTCAGACTGTTATCCCAAACGGTTTATTTCCTTCAGAACCACTGACTGAAATACACATTTTGGAACAACTTTATGAAAAACAATTACGTCCATCTTTATCCTCCCGCCACGTCTGTCTCCTGTGACTAGAAATCTCCCCATTAATGACTTTGCACTGATTTTCTTTAGTTTTTTATACTCTGATGGAGACAGCGGAGGGTTGGCTGCCTTGTTGCACTCGGCTGAAGGCGGAACGCTGCAATCAGTCTTTTTAAAGGAAAAATGGTTTGCACTTAAATTAGTTTATTAGAAGAAAATAATGGCTTTACATTGTTGGGTGTGCTAAGAACTTACAAATGGCTAATACAGTAGGTGAAGAAAATGCTAAAAAATATTAAAACCTGTATCTATTGAGCATTTATTTTAATATTATTTCAGATTCAAATCTGCTCTGTATCATAATGTGTATATTGTAATTAACTGATTTGATGGGGGCCTAAGCAAACTACCATTACTCCAGTGGAAGTTTTGTCATTGATAGTTATATTTCTAAAGCCTAAAGTATACATATTAATAATATTAAAATAATCTTGAATACATTGTGTTCTGGTTGTTTATTTCTCTGCACTGACATCAAGTTTAATCAGCAGCAATGTGTTTTTATACATTTTACACAACAGCAACTTTATTTCATGTTTTAGTTGAATTGTCTTTATTTTCACATTGTTAAAATGAAACTTTTTCACACTGATTTCTGATAAAATCTAAGTTTTATTCGGTTCATATCTCAGAGCGTCACTGTTTGCCTTTCTGAGGGTCAGCAGATTAATGTCAGTATAATACTCGCATTGCCTTGCAGAAGTTTTCAAACCCGTCAAACTTTTCCACCTTTTGTTGCACAACAGCCAAAAACTGGAAAAGGAAAGCTTTATTCCTTTACTAATAAATTCAATTCAAAGTACTTTATTGACCCCAAAAGGAAATAAAAAAATGTAACTGAAGTCACCTAATTAATATTCTGTCATTTAATCATCAGTATAAATAATCCATAAAGTCTGAAAAGTGCGGCATGCACATCTGTCTCCAACATTTTCCCTTCAGGAAATGGAATTTAGCTCCGCCCATTTTCCCATCCACTGTGATGTTTTCCTGTCTGCACATCCCCTCAGCATCATGCTGCCTGCACCATGTTTCACTGTTATAAGCTGAAAGTGATGCATTCTTCCCACTTTGTTTTTCATCAAAATCCCAGGAAAACTCATGGAAGTTTGATGTAACATGACAAAATGTGTTGAAGTTTAAGGGTGTGAATACTTCCTGAAGGCACTGCAAGTAATTTTACTAAAACAATTTGTGTGCAAAAATGATCCGTATCGCTGCTTTCCTCATCGCGCCCCACACCACACAGGAAGTCACATTTATTATCCAAACTCCCTCAAGTTTGGAGTTTTTGCTGGAAACCAGCCATGAATAAACCCGCCTGACACGAGTTTAAACCTAAAGTGTTCATTGGGTAAAAAATGTAAATAATTTGTGAAATATTACCGAGGTGTAAACATCTATCACCTGAAAATATGGACCATTAAACGTTTCATAAGACAATACAGGGGATTACATGGTAATATGTTCAGGTTCAGGGCCAAAAGTGCCACAATACAATTGCAAATGCAGATGTGTTTAAAATGATGAAATAATTACATACAATTAAAGTTAAGTTAATCTTTGTTAGGCTGCGTTCACACAGCAGGTGTTGGTCAATTCCGATTTTCTTTTTTCATGCTACAAATTAAATGCGACCGCAGACTTCTGCGTGAGCGGTTTTGCGACCCGCATGCGCAAAAGAACATTGACGTCACACAGCAGCGCATTGTTTACGGAAGTAATAATGGACGCCGCTGTCTATCGATCATTCTGAAAATGTTCAGCAATGGGAGCCGATAACACCGTCCCAAGAGGAAAGTAAGGGGATTTAATTCACAATCTGCTGCTTTGTGAACGTAGCGTGACGCCTACATACGTCATGTAATACTGATTTTTGATTTGTTGAGCTCCACAGCAGATTCCCAGCAGACCAATCAGCTCCTCTCTAACACTGTCTTTCGCTCGTTGACTATTAAATTACCTTATTCACTATTAGCATGTAATTAATTTTAATATTAGAACAATTAAACATAAATTGTGTATTTTATGATCCGTAAAAGTGTAAAGTCAGACGAGGATCAACAGGAAAGTATTAAAATGATTATTTTATTCATTAAGGGAGAAAATCTCTCCAAACCAACTCGGCACAATGTGAGAAAGCAATAAACCATGAATCAATTGAGATCAACCACATTTCATGATTCTATTGGAGTGGCCTAGTCAAAGTCTGCCCTCTGATGTGTCAAATTTAAAACAATGCAGCAAAGATTGGATTGATGTTCCTTGTCCGACATGTAAAATACTAATTTTTATCATGAACACTTAATAGCTGCTAGTTTTAAGGGGTTGATCACTTTTTCACACAGAACCAGGTATATTTATACTTAATGGATGAAATAATCATTAAACACTACTCCGGTTTTTTGTTATAACAAAAAAGCAAAAACAAAAGAAATCTGTAGCGGGAGGCAATTCTTTTCCACAGCATTGTAATAACTGAATAATTTATTTGTTGAATTGCAGCACATTTTGGCCGTCCATCCCAGCAGTCACTGAGAAGATGGCAGCTTGTTGTGTAGCAGGTTCCTCCGGGTTTTGGCTCCGTTTTGCGGGTCGGTCCGGTTCAAGCAGGCGGATTTTAATCTGAAACGGCTGGATTTTGGCTCTCAGGTTCCTCCTTCTTCCCGCTCCACAGGTGGCATGCAGAAGTTTTTCACCGTTATGCAAGGCATCTCGTCCTCGGGCTGTGGAGAGAAAAAGGTCACAGGATGTTTTCCTGCTTGCAGCTGCAGCAGCTTTCCTGATATGAAAAGACTCAACTGGGGCCTGAACACACAGAGACGAACACGGTGAAAACATGAGCATCCAAACTACAGGATCCTCATGACAGTGGTGTAGTAAGTATGCCGGGCCAATCGGTGGCACTGTGACTCTGCCAGAGAACAACACCAAAAGCACAGGGGCAGCGTTGCCAGATTGGGCAGGTTTCTGTACAATCAATCACTTTTTGAATGCCTGGAATTCTGTCAAAATTGGTAAAGAAAGAGTCACTATGTGGTGGAAAACAGAAATCCTGGTGCGACTTCATGATCTAGAACGTGCAGTGGTGTGTTATCACCATTGTAAATCGAAAACCAGTATAATTTTCTGCCAAAATTTTGACCTTAATCTCAGAAATGTTCTAGAAAAAATCAAGGATTTTTCTGAGTTTCAAAACTTCAACATTTTCCACTTTTAAAACTCAGAAATTCCCAACTTCTTTCAAGAAAATTTCTGAGATGGATCTAAAAATTTTTAGTTTCTTTATACCAATTTTTTGACTTTTCAAACTCAGCAGTGTTTTGGTTTCTTTTTCTCCCTGTAATGGCCTTCATACACCATAATATAACTGACTTGGCACCACAAAAAATGAGATAAAATAAATAAAGAAATATTAGTCATCGTTTAAAAAAGACAGGCCAAATGGAAACATGAAACCAGCGTTCTGAAATGCATTTGGTTTTAAAACTGATTGTTTCTGGTCTCAAGACGCCCAATCCGTGCGGACGCTCAGCCTAAACGACAAAAATCCTTTAAGGATTCACCGAAAGTCGTCTCTGTGTGGACGGGGCCTTGAGCACCTGTGGCTGGCACTTTTTTGGCGAGATGGGCGGCAGTGTCGGCTTGTGGTTGAGGGTAAAAGCAGGAACAGCAGAGAAAGGGAACGGAAACTGATGTCCGTGAGCGGTCATGTTGAGTCTGGGCAGCTGCACCAGGTTGGGGGCGTTCCTCCGGCTGTGGGGGTCCGCCGCTCGCTTCGGGTTGTGCTGAGGAGAGACGGAGCTTTTCACTGATTCATCCGTTTCTCAGGCCGACCTGCCGGGTTTGTTGAAGGCTTACGTTTACTAGAGGCGTCTGTCTGGGGTGCCTTCCTCTCAGCTGTTTGCCCAGTTTGGTCAGTCGCCAGCTGTGCGCCGACTTCACGGTGTTTCCCTTCCCGTCCAGGTTCTCAGAAATCCTCTGAAGCGTCTCTGATTTCTTCTCTCCCATCCTGAAACACAAAACCAAGTTTTCTTCTTAAAGATGGCCTATTATGCCTCCTTGAACAGGTTAGGTCTATGAGCGACCAAACAGCACAAAATTATTCTTAGATAATGAGATTTCAGTCTGCATAGTTCTGCCTATTTTTGGCTGTTTTAAGGCATCTTGTCACTTTAAATCCAAATAAGCTGCTGCTGGCCACGCCCCCCTACTCAACGCTTACACACCTGAAAATGGCTGA